TGTCGAGCTACCTAGAATGGTGGCCACATCACAAACCTGACTGATAGAATTCAGTCTGCACCAAAGAAAGGACTAGACACGTCACACTAGTTACTAGTGTCCAATGATAGTATTCAAGTGTTTATGATTTGGCCTACCCATTTGGAAAACAGGTGGCGCTTGTATATTTGCGTATATAATTGGGTACTCTCAACTTTTAGCCCATGGGCCACGAGTTGATGTACTACTCCGCTTACGTCAACATGGACTAATATTATTACCGCTGGGTGGTATCATCAGTCCCCTTATACGATAAATACAATTTTTAGCCCGGTGCATGATAAATCTGTTCCGGTTAATTGAGTTGCACATATGTATATGTGTTATATATATATATATATAATATATATATATATAGACGCTATAGGGAAATTCTGAATAGAGATTTTTTGATACACAAACACCTAGTAAACAGAAACACCTCAATTTTTTGTTTATTTATTTATTTATTTAAAATAAACAAAAAATATCACGGAAATAAAATAAAAGTTGCAAGAATAATTAAGTTGTATAAACCTTTTTTGTAAAGAAGTATCGTATCACCACCTCTCGGTGTATTACTCATAATGATTGAAAAACTTCCAACATACACGAGGTCACACCTTATATGAATTACAACAAAATAAAACCTAATAAATAAAAAAAAATAGTAAATAGAGAGTTTGAAATGCGCAAAAGCACACACCTACATACATACAAACAAACACACACACACATACACACACGAACGCACATACGTACACATGACAGAAAACAAGTAAACAATAATTTTCAGCACGTCCAATAAATCAGAAAGTCTGAAAACCGGATCTTAATACACACAATAATAATAATAATAATGATAATCTGAAAAAAATACTAAATATATTTAAAGTATTATTGCTATTAATGTCATCGTTACCATAGTAATGATGATAATAATAATAATAATGCTGATGAAGATAATAATATTAATTAAATTCAGAGAATTCATTGAAAAAAAACTATAAGAATAGAATTTGGGCACTGTGGTAGAGTCTATAGTCCCATTTTATTGGCTAAAAAACACACGGTGATATACGGCATTATCTACTGATATAGCTAGCTGATATCAATAAATAATACCTGTATATCACTGTGTGTTTTCATCAAATAAAATCACCCAGTGAAGGAGGATTTTTCAACTCAACTAAAGAATTTTGGGAGGAGTCAAAAAATGACTCGACTACCGTATGCATAACGTTGTAAGCTGAAGTTATATTCAAATTTCACTTTGAGTTAAAATACTCAGCCTGTCTTGACATATAGGCCACTCTAGTAGAAATGCTTCGATGATCTTCAAGTGGCACTTTTGTCCTAAGTTCGAGTTCTTGGTCAGAAATGAGTTCGTTTCTGACTGCCTCCATAGCCATATGCTTCGATGATGCCTGACTTGGTTGGTGGTGGCTATCACCGTAATCCATGACGCACGTTCCAAACTACCATCGATAACTTCAAACAAATTACAACTCCAAAAGGTGGCTCTTGTGATTTACCTAGTGGATAACAGTTCGGTGTTTGAAACGATGGGTTCGAGTGCCGGTGCGAATACAATCAATCAATGAGGATGCAGGTACATGCAGTCCCAACCATATAAGTGTTTGTCACAGGTTTCTAGTCCTCATAGTGTTGATGGAAATCTATTTACCAAACAAGCGATTAATGTGGTAGTAAAACTAAGTGATACACATTCAAATGAAAGTTCATGATCTAGTTTTTGCGCTAGTTTTTTGATAGTAATCACTATGCTTCCTTTCAAATAATGGAGAACATTTGTAGCTCAGGTGGATGATTTTGATGTGAGGTTGTGTCACAGCTGAATGGAGTGATTTAACTGAGAAGCTTGCATTGAAGATATTGTTTAGAAGGACAGTTGAATCACCCAACCCAGAGAACGCGAAACTACATCAACGAATTTCTTCTAAAACTTCTTCGTACAGCTGCTTTCTTTACCATGGACATCATTGAAAGGAATGCAAAAGAAAATGACTTCCCCCCCCTCCCCTCCCCCAAACAATTTAAAACTATTATTGTTCTGTTTAACTTCATCGCTAACTATTTGTTACACAATCGATGTAAACACTCATTCATTCCTCTTATTTCTTTTTTATAAAACATCAGACGTTATGTAACCGCTTGTTTGAGTTTTGCTGACAAACTTATCACAGATAATGACAAAACAGCTAACCCCAGATAGCACTGCTAATTACCACTCTTATTGTTTTTATCAGGTGTTGGGTTGCAAGGATTTGATTGGTTACAGGTTTGATCAGGAGTTGACATCAGTTAGAGAACCATTGGAAAACCAACAGGGAGTACTGGACAGCTGTTCAGTCCTAGTTTGGGGCTGTTTAGCAGCAGGCACCCACTGCCAGGGTTTGAAATCAGGACCTTCCGGTCACAAAGCGAGTTCGCGAACCATTCAGCCACTAGGAGTCGACTTGATGACCAGCCCATGAATTCCAACTTCGTATATATATATATATATATATATATATACGACTTCTCTCTAGAAATCCAGTTGATTTCAACAATACCGGGCTATGACCTGTACCACATGTCTTGTAAGAGATATCATACATCAAAATTTATCTTGTTTCCCTTCAAGTTCCTCAGTGGAACATAGGGCTTCAAGCCTCTAGCTTGAAGTTTCTGTAGCAGTGTTTATTTTACAGGATGGAGTTGCTAGCCTCATGCCCAACCTTTCCTCTTCACCAGCATTATTTCTAGCTTAGCGAGGTAATGGAGTGCGTCGGCCGGAGATCGAATCCCGGACCATGTGCATGGTCGGCGAGCGTCCTAACCACTATGCCACCGACGCACAAAATTTATCTGGTATTGTTGAATTCTGTCTCTGAACTGGATAGTTTAACTCCAAAGCTTTCATCATTGTCCCTTGCAGACGACATTCTCCACAGAGAGCGCGCACAGTACACAACATCACTAAAGAATCTTCAATCTGACTTACAAATTCTCACCATCATTCATACGTGGATTAATATAAAGCCAGAGGAAATAAATACCTGTTTCACATTCATAATCGCAATTGATCTATCACTAATATACAATGCTAACTTATACTGCCATTTTTGAAAAAAAAAAAAACACAGTCAAAGTTAACTAACATGAAGTGATACACTGCTGTGTGTAAAGTGATACACTGTGTGGTAAGGTAAATCGATTTGTCAATCACTCACTGATGAGTGAAAGAAAGAAAAAGAAGGAAAGAAGCAGAAGCGAAAGTTTTTTCTTTCACGGAAAGAAGAAAATAAGAAAAAATATTTCCCTATTTTCTTTTCTTTTAAATTTTTCCTTAGTGAATTCTTGTAAATATGAAAATTTCACCTAAAAATCGAAATTCCACTTCACAATGATATTCTTCATGCCTGTATGTACACAAACTAACTGCTGATTATTGTGAATAGTTGGAAACTGTTCATGTCAACCAGAATTCAGATGGTTGTTTGAAGTCAGTGGGCTATTTGGACTGAGTTACACCAGGTGCACACACACACACTCACACAGCTGATGAACTCGATTTTAAACGAGTGGAATGAACGTTCGATATTTAGATCACTTCAATTTGCTTAGCAAACAATTGGTAGTTGATGTGACTAATTTCCAAGTACTCATGCAACCAAGCTTTCTTGATTACATACACTCCATGGTGTCAGACACAGTGTCACCCTATTGTGAACGATATAATTTAGATTTCCAAATGAAACTGTAGTTAAACTACTATTAGAACTGTGTAAATAAAGGTATTATTATCATTAAGTTGCAAATTGCGAATTCTATTAAAAACATTTGGAGGCAATCTGCAGGAAACCTTGGACCTAAGTTTCGTACTAGTTGGCACTCATCACTAGTCAGCAAGGCGTATCTGCACTCTGGAATCTCAGAAGGAACATGAGTTCCTCTTCAACTGGTACGAAACCTAGGTCCAAGGCTTCCGGCCGATTGCCTCTAACCATCTTATAAAAACATTTGGGTTATTTAGGTAGGTAGGTAGGTTAATTGCAGTTGTATATGGAATAAAGGAGATAAGCACAGAGGAGCTCTTGCTTGAAATAACTCTCATGTTTGTTAGTACTCAAAGACATAAACCTACGAAAAATCATTTGACATGTGAACTGGTTTGAATTGATAGTTCCAAATTATGAGAGTAAGTTATGCAAACATAAATCGACTTAAGCTATACAAACAAAAACTGCTCATGATATAAGGTGATTCAGTGGCTCAGAGGTAGGATACTCGCCAGCTACGCCTCCCATGGTCCGGGTTTTGATTCCCGGCCGGAACACATCTTTACGTCCCCTAGCCGGTTGTAAACCCGTGAAAGATAGAGAAGGTTGAGTGTGAGGCTAGCAACCCCATCCCGTAAAAAATTAACACCACTACAAACTGAAACTTCAAAGCTCAACATTGAACACCTATGTTACACTCAATAAAACGCGAAGGAATAAAGTCAAAAATTATGATATTACACATTAACAGGAGTAACTGTTTTGTCTTTTAGTGTTGATGAGAATCTATCTATGAAAAGTGAAATGTGATCATTAAAAGTCGAATAATACAAAATTACGCGATATACATAATAATGTTATCGACCGATTATGCAATTCGGTCAGTCGCTCACCCTATTCAGGTGATTCGACAACGTGATAAACACACATTGCATTCAACGGATCAAAATTGTCGTGCTTATGAGAGTCACTCTAAGATCAACATCAGAAAATTTGTTTTTAATGGTCTGCTGGCATATGGTGATAATCCCTCAATAATTTTTGGTAAGCTAAACAAGAGTAGGCAGGAGTGAATACCACAAACAAAAGATAACAGAAAATTACCCAACACACAAACACACTATGAGGACATAAAAAGAGACATGGTGGATACAAAAAGTATACCAAAATACAGACCCCATATACACTCCCACCTACCTGGAATGTATTTAACAAACTGTACAATGAAACGTGAATGCGTTTCAAAATGCTTCATCATTTGATTCCAAATGTCTTCAACACGATCAGACATATGCATTGGTCGTACCGGTTGAGGTAAGTTATTCCGTATATTCTTCAGAAAAGAAGGAAGGCGAAAGAGAGAAAACAAATAAAAATGCACAATCCTGAAAGTAACAGAAAACCTGATTAGCTATTGAAGATAGATTGTGTCGACAGCTAACACTGGACACAGGTGGTGTGGCATCATCGTCATCATCCTTCTTCTTCTTCTCCTTCGGTACTCTTTACTACTACTGTGGTGAGAGCAAGCTGCTAGCCAATTGGTAGACATTGATCTACGCTGATTGGTGGAAATTAATCTAGGCTGATTCAACAACCGGTCACAGCTAACCTAGACGTGGACAAATATGATTCGCAGACAAGTGGCTCGCATTTGCGAGAAATATCGAAAACGAGAAAGCAGAAGACTGCGTTTGTTTGCAAACAACCAATCAGAAGACCGCCTTCTTTCTGCGGGCAGAGCCTTATTAATGTACGTAAAATACATATAAATACCTGTTGGTTTTCGTAATAAAACTGATCTGTTGCCTGGCCCTTGTCTTCTGTTGTTACACTACTACTACTGCTACTACACACAGTCCACGAATTACCCTGGAAAACTGTCAGTTAACATCAAGTAAGAGAATGCAAAATAGCCCATGTGTTTTACCTACTATTCTACTAATTCGTTTGATTTGACACCATAGACAAGTGATATTGATTCGTGATAGAAATACTGAGAAACAATAATATATAACTATCTCTAGGACACCCTTTAGTTTTCTTCCTGACTGATATCAATTCATGATAAACTATATATATGTATACCCTTGGAATTCAGAAAGTCGTGATCAACACACGTTTATGTGTGTATTGAAGTGCGATAGAAAGCGATAAAACAAAACACACAATATACACACACGCGGACATATAAACAGTCTTGTAACGAAAACTAACTGAAAGCTTATTTTAACATGTGTAGACGGATATAAATTATCATTGGGCGTTATTTCATTATTATCAGAAGAAAAAAAAGCAAACTACATAAGTAGAATTTGAAATAAGTAACTCGACGAATTCTATTAAAGATTATTTTCTAAATGTATTAACAATAAAAGCAATAAAATGAATGCAGTCGAATATTCATCTAGGAAAACTCTATATACCAGTGACGGAGTTATCTGAAAGTAGGAACTAGGCTTCATTGAACAGGTCATGCTGTATAGATATATCAAAATCCTTAAAATCAGTAGTCAAACTAAAAGTTAATTTAGTTTTCAGTTTTGTAGGGATTTCCATTATTTTTCATATAGGCTCTGTTACGAACTAGAATCTGTGTGAAAGAACCGATGAGTACTTTTCAGCAGTTTCTGCACCTATGACCTCGTCACCAGTGCGCTTTCAGGTTACAAGACAACTCGTTGGACATTATTCACAGCCACTCAGTTAGGGGGTTCAGTATAACGCGCGATAGTGATACTCATTGGCTGATCTCGTCACCTTGAGAAACTCGATTCGAACCGTGGTGGGGTGGTCATGGAGGTATTCACTGCTTGATAGTCTCAAACCAAGACGAAATACTTCTCCAGTGAATTCATTGGTTTTCAAATATACTCCAACTGGTTTTAGTTAGTGAAGAAGTCTACCCTGTAAACGATAATTATTCTTTGGCTGGTGGTGTATAGGTAGTGAAATCCATGACTGTACGCTCTTTGTCCTGTTTAAGATTCATCATCAACTGGATATGCCTGTATGCTGAATGAGTGATTGATTGTGTTCCTACTCAGACTAAAACCCAGCACTAGTCGTTCCAAATGTCTCTGGTGTAAAATAAATTAAGGTCTGGGCGATTTAAGATATTGAAGCAAAATCAATAGATAGAGGTAAGGAATTTAGCTGAGTTTATTTGCCAGATGCCCGAAAAAAATTCTGAGCTCTATTCCCGCTGAAAGACATACATTTGCTCAATAGAAAACGAACAATTCATTCTTCAAATCGTATTCATCAGGGGGACAACAGACTCAAATTAAACAATTGTTATTTTATTCCTTTGCGTTCCTAGTCGGAGCTTTGAATTTTCAGTAAGAGTAGTGTTTTACTTTTCTGTGGGATGGAGCTGCTGGCCAAACTTTCCACTATGTCAGGCCTACTATCGGTTAAAAAAGAGATTTAGCAATGAGTCAGTCAGGGATCAATCCCCGGAACCACGTTTGTGGTTGACAGGTATTTCATTACTGAACCAACGACGCCAAGTTCAACTCTAGATGAAAAAAGAATTCTTGAACCTCAGATTCAAACTAACATATCTTGGTAGGTGTATTAATAACGCCTGGAAGCAGAGTTACACAACAGTGCTTCGCCGTCGTTTTAGACAGCGATTCTTCAGCGCCAACTTCAAAATTCTATAGACAGATGATGATAGCTTGGCAATTCAAACCGTGCAGCTCAGCAGGGGATGTGATAATACTCAAAATATACATCTAATGAGAGAGAAGAAAGCAGATGTCTTAACACAATAACACAAACGAGCTTTTTTAATGAAAATTCATTACTCAACTTGAATACCTTAAAATTTCAATGAATTAAACTTTTCAACTGTGAGCAACAACTGATGATGAAATTATCCTGAGATAGTCCTGGATTGATGATTGATAGACTGTTGTGTTACTGATGTGTAGTTGTTAGTGGGTGATGAGATGCAAATCTGGACTGTGGCAGGATTCGAACCGGTGGCCTCCGAATAACCAGTCTGACGCTATACCAGCTGAGCTGAGAGAAGCAATAACCACAGCTTTAATACAACTGACAGTAGAATGATGACGATCTATTTCAGACAGGTATCTTAGATTTCTGGTGGAAAGCCATGATATATTGTGTCAACAAAGACAACAAATGTATCATAATAAGTAAGAAAAATCAAATGTAATAAAAGTCAATACTACTCACCTTCCTTTCAGACACCATATACTTAGCAGCTGTGTGAATACGTTCAGCAAACTGTTGTACCGTTATGGAACTCTATAGTAATGATAACCAATAACAAAATTATAAATACAGATTAGGAATAAATAAATAAATGAATAAGTACACAAATCACAGGTCCACCCCCCTCATTCGTAAAAATTTGAAAGTTGAACTTTTATATCACAATTAAAATTTTATTGAGTTATTTGGCACATGACGCTATTTTGTTCTTTTAAGGTACAATGGCCTCTCTCTCTCTCCCTTGCACTACCACCCCCCCCTCTGTCACATGATGACTGCAATGACAGAGAAACACACGATTGTATAAAATAAATAACCACAAACTCACCTTTCTTAATGACTTAAAAGTTTCTTAATCCTCTCTACATAAGTTAAAGAGTAAGTCATCTTTTGAAATGATAGGTCATGAAACACAAACGTTGAAAGTTACAGATATAAAGCTAACTGTCTCTTATCATAGGGGCCTGCATTCTATCTTCCAGAGTAAGAGCCTTAATATTGGTGAGTAACATTGAGGTTAGGCGTAGAGTTGATGAGGCTGTGGAGCTAGGATATTTGTAATACATGCCAAGCCATCGGCTTCGTCATCAAGCCTGAATGTTGGTTTGAGCCATGTGGAGGGGTGTAGACTTTCTGGCTGGAGTAGTCAAGACACTAAAAATTAATGACATTAGACTGTTTGTGAAACGATAGCTGTAAATGGCTCATATGCACAATAGCTATTTGCGAACTCTCAGACCAATTAAATCCCCATCACTGTTTTTCACCGGTACTTTTCCGTTTTTTTTTTAAATTATTATATTCCTTTGCATTCCCAGTGGAACACAAAGGGGGGGGCTTCAATCTCTGGGGTTTCACTAATCGTGGGGCTAATGTTCCGAGGTGAGGTTGCTAGTCACACACCTAAACTTCCCTCTTTGTCGGGCTTACAATCGGCTAGGGGGGGCGGATAGGAGTGCGACGGCCGGAGTTCGAACCCCAGACCATGTGAGGCGTGGGTGGTGAGCATTCTACCACTGAAACATCGATGCACAACTTTTCCGTTTACTATGGATTACTTTTTCTTCCTCCACCCTCAACTCAAGTCTACTTTTGTGTGGTGTGGCAACTTGAATTTGTGTACTTTTGTGCAAATCTGTTACTGTTATATGAGCTGGAAGTTTCAATTGAGAAGCCATCAGATATCCTTGTAGATAATATCCCCAGGGCTAGAATTCATACTGAAGTGTTCACGTTGAAGTTAGCACTGAAGATATTGATTCATAGTTGAATTATCTAGCTCGAAAAAAACAGCAATACTAATAGGCATCTTTTTTAACATTAATAAAATTATGAACATCCAAGAAAAACTCTGTCGCCTAAGCTCATTATTATTATTGGGATGAATGAGAAAATTTGCATCAGTTTGCTTTTATTTTTGAAGCAATGTAAAAGTACGTATCAGTTGAGAAGCGTAGACTCTCACAAACGACGACGGCAACAACAACAACGATGAAAAAAATGACTTCACAAAGTAGAAAATTCAACCTACCGGTCTAGTGCCATTCTTTAAACGTGGACCAACTTCTTTGCTACATATCCCTGGGAGTGTAACAGATGGAACAACAGTATTACCGAGTGAATTATTCATAGGGTAATTATTAACTCCCGATGACGAGGATGATGATGACGATACCGGTGGATAATCTAAATTACTGCTAGGCATTGAATGACGATCAGAAGAAGATGAATAAATTGCAAGATTTTCAATTATCCTGCCAAAATTCCCAATGATTGGTGGTGATGGCGATGAAGTACTCGATGCATAACTGCAACTGCTAGGCAATTCAGGAAATGAATTTACAATGCTCGCACGATTTAAACCTGATGGATAGACATCATCGGATAAGCCTCGAACACGACTGTTGGATAGGACGAGGCCGGCAGCTGTGGCAGCGGCTGCAGCTGCTACAGCAGCAGCTTGCATAGCAGCCATTGTCGAAGGATGCGTAACATCAGACAATGAGGATGGTGTTGAATGCAAAGAGCGCAGTGGATCTGGTGCTTCACATTTCCCTCCAACTTTCATCATACTTCCACTGACTACATGACTAGCAGTGATATCATGTCGATTGAGATTAGAATTGGACAGGAATGACCTTGAGCCTTGTTCAACAGCAGCAGCAGCAGCAGCGTTTCATGTAGACCCATTTTGAATCGCTGCTTTAAATATGCAAGGTAAAAATAACAATTATCAGCTGAACACTTGTTAGAATTGAAATATCGAATAGGTGTTTTAGATTTAAAACTATAAGAAGATAACTATCAAACAAACAACTCACTACCTACCTACACATCAAAAAGACTATTTATAATTACACTATAATACATATGCTGTTTCTTTTAACAAAGAAAATACTATAACGTATAATTACACTGAACGCCTACGGGAAGGAGACAATTCAAAAAACAGAATCACTTGATTCATCAACCGCTAGGTCATAAATGCACACTACTTTCCGCCTACACCGTCAATCTTCTTGTCATTAGCCGTTGAGAGTAAACTAGAGATAATATGAATCAACTGCAAGAATGTTAGAAGATCAACTATCCAAAATTTTATTTTAATGTTTTTTCCCTTAAGTTTCGAGCGGAGCATAGGCTTTCAAGCGAGAGCTTTGAAGCCTCAGTAGCAGTGGGTGAGGTTGCTAGCCTCTCACGCCAAATCTTACCTCTCTATCGACCTTACCTACCAACTAAATAAGTATTAGGAGTGCGTCGGTCGGCGACTGAACCCCTTCTCTGAACCACTGACTCACTGAACTATCCTTAAAACAGAACGCTAATTTGAAATTCTGATCATTATATCATCATGACTTATGCCTGTTATTTAATCAAAACTATTGAACTTCCTTTCGGTTCATTTTACTTGACTGAAATTCTCAAGTATATCCAGCTGATGGGTTCCAAGGCGTATGAAACGTGAGTCCTCGACTCCACTGATAGCTATTATCAACAAAATACCATGATTTATATCTTTTGTCGAAAGATTAACAATAACAGTTTACTTAACCATACGGAAGTAGAGTGAAGCGATTCTTAAAAACTCATGGCACAAGTCCCCCAAACTATCGTGTAACAGCTTGAAATACCAAATGTCAATACGATAACTGAACCAACAAACTTATTATTCGTATATAAGAACTCAGTTATCCGTGCTACGAGGAACACTTATCGTGTGAGGACTCAGGCGGAAGTACGCGTAGCGGAATTACAACTCTGGAGACAATCTGATGATTGTTAGATGGAATAAACTTCTTCAGATATAACAAGTGTCCGAAATAAGTTGAACATGTGATGACGAGCATTCGAATGGCACGAGAAGAATACTCAGGACTAGTGAAAACTCGAAAACTGAGTTTCGTCCCTGGAACCATTTCAAAGAAGACATGAACAAATAAACGTAGCTAAGTAACAACGGTTATAATAAAAATAATAATGCTATTGAGAATTTGTGTGCTATGTGGTATATATAGTATATAAGTCTATAACATCTGTTGCTTACTCAAACCTTGAACAAATGGTTCATTTAATTAAGTTACTGAGCAACATTTCGCTAGGAAAACATTCTCTGCAATAAGTCATCTATTTTTAACTATAATTATTCAGCATAACACTCAATAAAGAATAAATAGTATAGTACATCGGAGGAACTAGACAATGTCACTACATGTATAGTAGAGAGCTGAAAGACGCACATTTCCTCTGTTTTACAACATGATCGGCTTAATGAATGACCCTAAGTCGCCTAAAACTACACTCATTGTTTTTAAATCTCCATGAAAAAAAGCACACAGAGGAATACGAGCATTTCCAGCCGATCAGTTCAAGATAACAATGAAAAATACATCATCATCAACAATGAAATTCAAGGTAATATTAAGCCATCTGCAAAAATAGCCTATATATACATATGTGTAAACGCCCCCATAAGCGACTTGGTACTGCTGAGGATGGGTAGACTTCAGTCTTCTTTGTGAAGTGCTGTCACGTAGCCATGCGTTCACAGCCTCTGCCAGGTAAGTCCTACTCATTACCTTCACGCTGCGGGGGTGGGGTGTTTCTCTCTTACACAACCGGAATGGTGGACATGCTGGTCTGCTATTTAGGGGATCTGGAAAACCCTTATTCCAAAAATGAGCGTCAGGGTAGTGACCCTGGCCCCACGCAAACTATGACATATTATGTGGCGCGTTTCTTGGTGCCCATAAAATACTAGGTTTATGTTTTAATAATGATAATAATGTATGTAAACAGAGACTGATTTCCGATTAAGAATCACGGAAATTCAGTACAAAAAGAAAGAAAAAATGATAATCAAAGTAAAAAAAGAATTAAATTACCTTTGAAAAATTGGTTACATTCAATGGAACACGCCTAGAGTTATGCAAATCTGTTTGATTCAAATTAATATTATTATCATTCAAAGCAAAGTGTTCATTAACACTACACGAAACTGTATAGGGATCAAGTGCTTGATTTGTCGACGGTGACTGGGATGCAGCCATAACAACAGCCACTGCTGCTGCAGCAGCAGCAAACCATGGTGTTGTTGTAGATGTAGGTTCACTTTCTGATAATCCAATTGAATCACTATTACGTCCATTAAGAAATGCTAATGGATTTGTATCTAAACAATTATTATTATTAGTGTTACTACCATTATTAGATAGAATTGGTTGAATTGTATGCTCATTTGGTAGACTACGACTAGATTTAATGTATCGATGTTTCGGTAACCATATTTGATCGGATATGTTATTATTATTGTTACTGTTACTGTTACTGCTATCAACAGTTGATGTTTGCTGATTAAAATCAGAGTAATCAGAGATCACAGATGAACGTGGACAAGATGTAATTGATGATGATGAAGACGATAGATAAGGTAATGAATAAGAAGCATCTTCAGGTATATGTCTTGCAGTTGATAAACATAATTGTGTTGGTCTTAAATATGGTTGACTTAAATGTGTACTAACTGCATGCGGATTATTCAATGAGGATGTTTCACCACCTAGTGGAGATGATCTATCCACCAGTGAACAGCTGTTTAGAAGAAGAAATAAAAATTGATCTGTGTTAACTGCCTTCATCTTGAAACCATTTCTTTAATTTAAAAAAGTTAACACATGAAGTGATCAAATCAGTTATCAAAAACTATTTGGGTTTCAAGTATAAAAAATATACCAAAAATATCTTTTTAAATATTCAGAAAACAAAAAACATTGAGCTAGGAAATACTCACCTCTGAAGTAGATCCTAAGCAATAGCTCTAGTTTGACATAACATATAACACTTTTAGTATGATTATATTACATACATTATACTATATATATTTCCTTCCGGGACATAAGGAGTCTCAGAGGTACATCTCAACTGCATGCGGTTCTCTGACATCATTCTCAGCCGGTTCACCAACTCTCCACAAGCTTTCATCTCCTGTTCACACGATCTTCTCCTCCATAACACTCTCGAACGGGTTCCATACTCGGGAGCTTGGCTGGCATGTTATGTTACCAATGATATCCGCCTCCACTCCACACCCACTCCTCCTCCGAAACTCTTGGTTAATAATATTAATCTTACGTTACTGGTTAATTATTGTTAATCAACTTATTACTTCCAGATTGGGCAAATTACGCATTTATAACAGAGGAGAGACACTAATGAGGAGGATATAACTGTGAGAAGTGAATATTCCTACGCTCAATTTATTGTCTCCATGATTAAATAAATGAATAAATAAATGAATAAATAAATAATAATAATAGTATAGAAAGTAAATCAATCGGTCAGTCATCTAACAAGTAGGGTATAAACAGCTCTCAAGACTACTCAGTTAACCCTTGTACACATCACTCGAGTTTCTGATTACCATAAAATTAATGAATAATAATAAGAAAATAAGAACAAGTAAGCATAAAACCTGTTCACTTTTATGCCTTAATTAACTTGTAGAAAATGTCTAATCACATGTTTAGTGTAATATTGGCGAAAGGGAACATAATTCATGACGAAAAATGTGATTACTGCTTAATATTTTGTAGTATACCTAAGGTGTAATGTGATATTCTCTATTGAATATATATTACAAGAATATGATTCGTGTATGTACATGTGATACAAAATTACGTCTTTCGTAAGGTAATTTTCGTTTGGCATGACAAAATTAAACGTAATAATCACTATTATAATTACTACTACAGTGCTACTACTTTAATTAACTATGGAAACAATAACAAATCAGTTGTAGAAATGAATATATAAATCTACAATAAAGTTTGTTTGAACTTAGTTACCGCGTGACTGAATAGTCAACGAGCTTGCCTCATAACTTGAAAGTCCTAGGTTCGATCACTGGCCTGGTCATAAGTGGATAATTCTGAACAGTCCCAAACTAGAACGAACCAGCTATCTAGTACTCTCTTGTTAAGTGGAAATGTTACTCGATGGCTTTAGCACTCATCTTTTAATCAATGGGTCCCAGGTTCGAGTCAGGCTACACCTACTTCAACCTGGGCAGCTAGGTGGTAGCCATTACACAATGTGTGGCTCATAGTCCAATGCTGAGTAAATTGGGTAGTAACTAACTAACTAACCCAGAGAGAGTAGGCGGAGAGAGATTCTAGTCTATGACGCAAAAGCTGAAAACCGAGTGCAATGGAGTCACATGTCCACTCTAAAATATACATAATGACCATAAGAATATTTACAGTTTAGAATGCATTTATTATTAATGTAATGAGTGGCAAATGTAGGTGGTTCGAAATTAGACAGACGTCGTCCAAAAGGACCATGAAGCTAGCATCGAAGAATGCTTTTCTATATTGTCTATCGTGTACCGAATAAAGTACCTAAATTAGCTAGGTACCGAGTAGTCTAAACAGCAGAAGCCATAGAGATTTGCTTAAAACATATGAAACTTTCTATACAATATTACTACCTCATACGTAGAGATAAACAATGGATTATCCTTTTATGGTTACCTTCTCTCATGGATACGACGGTGGCGATATATATATATATATATATATATATATATATATATATCATTGTATCACTTTGGACAGATATTGTGACTGATACTGAAATGTACTTCTCGGCTCACGTCGTTGTGTACTGGCGCTTAAGTAGATTCGGCTGAGGAACAGATAGCTGCTGTCGTATAATGTTGTTGGTGTTAGTCTAGTGAAGTTGCGCGATCATCGCGTCTATGTCCAGCATTGGCATCCCTATTTCAACCTCAATATTATTGAGAAATATAAAAGTAGCAGCAACATAATAACACTACTCTGGTCTACTGTGGAATCTATAAATTCAGAAATACTGCACTACTTAATACATTTGCGGTGTAACCTTCCTTAGTGCATGTATGAATTCCTTCCATTCCTTATTTATTATTGCTCTTGCAGTAACCTGAAACAAACCTGAAATTTCAAGTATGACAACGAACTGATAACGGTTAAAGAACCATTGAAAACCACTAGGGAGTGCTGGACAGAGTCGTTTCGTCCGAGTTTGTGACTCATCATCCGTACAGTAACAATGGTTGCTGTAAATCGTGCTAAAATCACGAATTAGTAGAAATTAGAATTCATGGGCTGGTCAGTATGTCGGGTCCTGATGGGTGAATGGTTTACGGGCTTGACTTTTAACAAGAAATCCTAGGTTAGTACGCCGTAAGGTGTGTACTGCCAACGAGTGTCAAACTATGAAGAAACAGCTGTCCAGTACTCCATGTTAATTTTAAATGGTTCTCTAACTGATATAGAGCCGCGGCCAAACTTGAAACTAATCAAATCGCTACAAATTAACTTTTGAAAACCATTTTATTTCTTTAATTCACTAACACACACACACATACACACACTCACAACTTTTATCCTGTCTATCTCGTCCTCTTGTTAAGCAGTTTATAATCAGTCTGAATAAAATTCAGTGTGAACATTAATCATAGGTATCCATTTATACATAGGCGTTACTAGTCATGATCACTTACTTTTGAACTTTGATGTCAAATTGAGTATAGAAGTTGCGCCTATCATCTCTCTCTCTCTCCCTCCCTCCCACCCCACCCCACTCTCTCTCTCACACACACAGAGGTTTTTTGTAACTACTACCAAGTTCGATCTAACTACTAACTGAGCTGTCGTCACTTTAAATTTATAATCGGCATTTTGTCTGATCTACTAAAACTATATACATCGTGAGAAACTGAATTATGGTAAAGTACAAGGTGAAAATAAAATAGTCATGTCAATGTTGACTGTCGCTCAAAATGCAGAGATAGGCAGTCACTAAGACAATGAGATAAAAATAGATTATTCAGAAACTCAACGACATGTTTGTCAGGTATATTCAACAAAGTATAGATGAGTTGTAGTCAGTCAAGTGGTGTGAGACACAAAATAATGTAAGTTCAAGTGGGTGACAAATAGTAAATACGTATAAGAAAATAACTACGATTTGGTGTGAACTATTTTAGTGAACGACTGTCACATGATGAAGAAATGAACTGGGAACAAAAGGATTGTGTGAACATACATAAAAAGTGAAAGAATTATACATTAAGTTATTGAAAACAAATATTCGCTGTAATCATTCCTGTCCTGAACAAATTATGAGGATCTTCGTGTGCAGCTAATTAAACTAAATAATTATAAGAAGCATCCAGAGAAGATGGGACTTCAGAGGCGATGAAGATTCCTGGCCAACAGCAACAACAACAACAGACAACAATCAGCATAAATGGGAGCAATCTGAAAGAAGCAACCTCCTTTATCTACCGACCTGGGAAGCATCGTTTCAACTACAGGCGGAACTGACGAGGATATCAAAGCGAGGATTGGGAAAGCAAGGTAAGCTTTCATTACTCTCAAGTCTGTGTAGAGACCAACAGCACTCAGTATGAAAAGTAAGATCCGGATTTTCAACTCCAATATGAAGTCAGTGCTACTATACGGATCAGCGACTTGGTGCGTCACGAAGGGCACCTCAAACAAACTACACACCTTCATCAACAGCTGTCTTCGCTCAATACTACTCAAGATCAGATGGCCGGCCAGAAAAGATCAGCAACAGGGAAGGATCTCTGGGAGCGAACGAACCCAGCAGCAACCAATTGTGCAGCAAACACATGTAGGAAGAAATGGAGGTGGATCGGCCATACTCTGAGAAAACTATCACATGACATCACACGCCAGGCCATAGCTTGATTGGAACCCGAATGGGGAGCGGCGAGTTGGTCATCAGTGAGAGGGTGACATGGAGGAGGTCATGAGAAGACGAGATGGAAGCATATGGTCAGACGTGGAGCCAAGTGAAAACGTTGGCAGAGAACCGAACACAATGGAGACGTACAGCTAAAGTCCTATGTTCCTCTAGGAACTGAAGGAGACAATAATAATACATATATAAGTTATTGAAGTAGCAAACGAGTCTAGGAGAGGTGGTTTAGTGAAGATCATATGTGAGGAGGAAAAGAAAGTTTGTGGGCAGCTAGGGAGCCCCAACTGAGCATAACGGCAGAGTACTGGACGATGAAGCGGAGATATGCTTTCACGGCCTTATATGTATTTTCCAATAGGAACATGAGAGTGATGAATGATACAAACATTCAAAAACTAGTTCCCCTATTTCTAATGTCACGCATATTTCTAGCAAATAAACAGACAACACAAAGGGCTTATGTGTAAAACAGAATGAATCCACTGTTTTTAGGTTTCAGCTTTGTTTCTTCTGTATAGACAACCATTAAAAAAGCTAATTTCTTTTTATTCAAAGAAAGAGACAAGCAAGTACCAAAAATAGATATTTTTTTAATTCAAATACAGTTTACTTATTATTTAATACATTGTAACTATAATAAGTAATCGTAATATGAGATATTATGGTATAATTTCGCTGAAATACTGAGTATCTGTAATAACGTCGCCTTACGACCACATAGTTTCATTAATAGGTCATTATGGCTTTGTGTTTTTATTTAATGCCGTCATTAAGCGAGAAATTAGTAATACAGCAGTATTTTAAATTAGTTCATTCTCGGTACTTATGTTGAGTATAAATATATTGGAAATATCTCTACATCCATTCAAAGGAATTGCCTATTGATTCAGATATACACATATTGTCCACAGTATACTATTACACTTTCTTTGCTTATCTAGAAGGCACCGTCCCAACTACAGGCACGCCTCACGGGTGACGATGTCAAAACCAAAATGAGGAAGGCAAGGCAGACATTCATCACTCGGAAATCAGTTTAGAAATCTTTTCCACTCCGCAGCATAGATAACAATATTCTGATTTCCAACACAAATGTTAATTCAGTCGCTTCTTCTATATGGATCAGAAATTTGTAGTTCGCGTCACGAAGATCATTTCCAATAGGCTACTGCCTGTCTTCGCTGGTTCCCTAATGAATATCAGATGGACGGTCAAAAAAAAGTTGGAAACAAGAAACTCTGGGAATAAACCAACCAAGAATCTATTGCTCAATAAATGTGGAGAAAATGCAACTGGATCAGAAACACGCCAAAATGAACCGTTGAGTGGCATCTCGCGCCAGGCCATCTCTCGAGTGGAACCCACCGAATAGGAAACAACGAGTAGGTCGTCCAATGGCGACATGGAGAAGATAGTGTGAGGAGGAGATGAAAGTTCATGAGCAATCGTGCGGCTGGATGAAGAGGACTGCAGAAAACAGGACGAAATGGATATGTGCTGTTGAAGTCGTATATTTCACTCAAAATCCAAAGGAATAATAATGGTAATAACATACTACTACACCTGGTATAGTAAATGTTGGGCTCAAATTTTCGCCTGTTTCCTTAGACTAGCCACAAAAATTATCTTATTATGAAAAGAAAAACAACCTCCAGCGTTGACATTATATTACGAGTAAAAATTAGAAAATAAAACTGACTTATAGTCATAAAAATGGGGTAACAAAGAAACTCACCTTCTAAATTGTAAGTGCTGTAGAACACTACGATCAGCATTGTTATTATTAGTATTACTATTATTACTGTTATGATTATTATCATTAGGCAATTTGATCTGGTTTAATAAATGCCTTGATCGGTCAATAAATGAAAAGTTATCTACAGAGATGTTATTGTTGTTATTAATATTAATTTTTACATCATTAATTTTATCATATCCACCACAAACAACATCACTAGTGTTACTGCTACTACTGATAGCATCACCACAACCAGTAGTCCCAGTTGAATTGATAACACCATACAGATGTTCATCGGTTGGACTTATCACTTCAGTGTGTTGGCGGTGATGGGGATGATGATGATGATGTGAAGGAGCAGAAGCAGGAGTAGGAGGATGAGACGGATGAGGAGTAGACGGTTGGTGTCGTTGACGATAACGATGATCAAGATGTTCACTATCATTTGGACCCATAGTATTACACCCTTCATCATCAACGTCATCATAATCCTCATTATCATGTATGTATGTTGAATTAACCGGTGTGAATTTTGAGGATGTAATTTTACTTTCATTCATCTCTGATCCCATAGAAGAGGATAGTGTTTTACGTCGTTTAATATTTCTTGAACATTCATTTAGAAGATAATCTGCCCCACCGTTAGTAGTAGAAGAAGCAGAAGAAGTTGTAGAATAAACTGATGATGATGTAGGCAGAAGTGAATTACAATGACCAGGAGGAAGGAGAACAGCACCATTACTAGTAGTAGTAGTACTACTGCTAATACTACTATTACTGTTACTACAACAACTATTTTGTGAAGGAGACGGTTGAGGATGATGAAGACGTGATTGTGGATTAGGATACTGTGCACGTGATTCTGTTTTAAACTTTATATGATTTTTTAATCCTGCTTGTGGTGATGAAGACGACGATGGTGATGAACACGGCATTGATCCATTTTTCAATGTTGTACTACTCCCACCGTGTGATTCAGCATAATTATGACCATGTACACTGAATGGATTCATACCAGTTGTTGTTGTAGTTGTTGTCCTAGGCATACTTGATGAGACTATGGATGTTCCTGTTGCTGACACTGTTGAACTAATACTACTGCCAATACGATCAGAGTTAGAGATTATACGTTTAGCTGATGGCCAACTAGAAGTTGGATAATGAGATTGACTAATTCCTGATTTACACCGTTCATCATTCATAGACGATAAATCATGTTCACTAATGGTACTACAGTGATTACTATTATTATTATTATTATTGTTATGATCATGATTGGTCGTATTATTAGTACTATTATTATTATTACTGTTATTGTTATTATTATTATGGCTACTGATGTTACTGCTCAGAGTTGTATTACTACTGCTAGTACTACTATGACTTATCGAATTACGACGTGTTGTTGTATCAATTCTATTTGAACTTGAAGAGGGATTGGTTGTCGCTTCACAGTCGCTGGAATTAGTCAATTGAGAAATCTCTCGGGCACAATAATATTTAATTGCATTAGGCTGTCGACCAATACGACTACCTGCAATTATGTAAGTAAAAGAAACAAACAAAAATTATTTAATTTTAGAGAAAAACACAATTGTAAAAATATCTGTAATAAGGTTATTACTCATAATGATTTTGAACAGAACATGTGACTACACTGATTTTATGAAGTGCTAGTTTCCAGGGATTCGGTCACGAGACGACATTAGTTAGGGAACCACTGGGAAACATGGGCAGATGTTTCGTCGTAGTTTAAGACTCTTCAGTGGTATGCGCTCACTGGGGTTCGAATTGACAGAAGTTGGAATTCATGGACTGGCCATTGGATCGTATCCAGTGGCTAAATGGTCTGTCTACGAGCTAACCCTGTGACCGGAAGGTCCTGGGTTCGTACTGCTGAATAGTCTCAGACTTTGATTTTAACAAATACAGTTGACGATTAGTCAAATTCAACTCCATTACCTCCTTGGGTTTCTATGTAATCCAATGGGAAGACCTGGTGACGAAATACACACACCGAGTGTGTATACCAACCATCAATCCATGACATATAGAGGTAGGGGTGATGTAAACATCGGATAATCGTTTCGCTTATTTTTTTTGTGGAGCCTACCAGCTATGCATTCGCACATATCCATAGGGATTCGGTGATTTTCAGCTACTCATACAACTTAGCAGTATGTGTGATATGACTCAGTACGAATGCAATTTTCACGTTATTTATCACATTAGACAGGTAGTAAATACTTAATCGGATAGTTTGGATTTCAAAGTGAATTACAAGAATTAGTTTGTAGGGATTCTGTTTGTTTCAAGCTAAACCACGGATTGATATCAGTTAGAGAACCATTGAAAACCAACAGGGAGTACTGGACAGGACCTTCCGGTTATGAAGCCAGACCTCGCATACCACTGGGCCACTGGGACCTGATCCAATCGCCCACGAGTTCTAACTTCTACCAATTAGTGATTTTAGCGCGACCATGTCAGCTGATCCAGGAATTCCCCAGATAATGGCTTCCAATCATTAGTGTACCAACCAGCGTAAGTAATCCAACTTATATAGTCAAATTCTTAAAATCAATCATTTAAATTCTGGATAGGTGGGTGGGTGATTTCACGCTACTCATCATATCATCATTCTATAGTGTATAATATGTACCATTTGATCGGATTACATACTGCTGCTTAAATACTTCGGTTTTCACATGAAATTGCTGTGAAACTTTATCGCAGATGTATTCACATCTTCCAGATTCAGAAAAGTATTCACTGATCTTTTCAATGCTATAATTTCATCTTACATTTCTTTCTTCTACTTTTATGTGAGCTTTTCTGAAGTATGGCATATTGAGGTGATGTACTTTTCAGCAAGATGCCGCATTATTTCGTCAGTCAGCTAAACACTACAATACACACTACAAGGAAAATATTGTTAACAGTTAGATCTCAGAGCTCAGCTGTTACATAGTAGGACTAGTATAGTTCAAAGGCTACCACCCATCTATCCTTCTCATTTCACCATCTTCCATCATTACCTTTATCACGACATAAATAATAGTGTGCTAACTCAAGGCAACTCTCGGGTACTCTCAAAAGAGAATAAGACATAATCTAACAAGTAATTTAGTTTTACATATCTGAAAACTATCTGTTTACGATTAACATCCTGTGATATGGAATTCAAAAGTAATACGGATGTATAAATTTGCTATATAATAATAGAAACAAAAAACATATCTATAGCATTGAACTACCACTACTAATTCTACTGAGTATCGCATTAAATCTAGGTTTGCGTGACTGACAGTGTTTGATTTAAAGTCACAAATATTTTCTTCAAATCAATAAAACAACGACCAGCGAATGAATACAATCAACGAATTAATCTTAAAAGCAGAAAGGGAACATTATGTTTGCGATTTTATGTATGATGTGGGAAAAATGGGTCATTGGCTTCCAGTCTGTGAGTCCCACTTCATATTCACCCACCTCAGTCCGGGTGACTGGGTGTTGTATCACAGAATAACTGTGGCTCACAGCCTGAAACATGAAAGATTTATTCCGGGAATTAAGTTCAAGCATGTCTAATGTTGAACGTAATGATTGAAGGTAAATAAAGCCTTATTTGATTTAAATCTTAGACTTTGTGTCCTTTCTGATATGGGAATACTCAAACAACACAGCACGAACCCATGGCTTAAGTCCAATGCGCATATAGTATTCATTCGTCAGAGTACAATGGTCTCTTATCTTCACAATTCGTTTGAAGTTATTCATCATAAATGCATCTACAACTTTGAAGAAAATGACTCTATGAACGTGTCGTTTTACAGGCTAAAATCACTTTCAACATGAACTGCAGGAATAAATAATACCAATGACAAAGTATATCAATATAAAGATTTCAAGTTAGTGTACTAATTTTGTATAGAAAAAGTAAACCATCTCAGAGCTGAACTGTCGTTTAAGTAGCTTCATTATATTATCAGATGGTTGGAAATAGTCCACAGGAAGCCCTGAGACTAGACGTCGTGTTTTTTGTTTTGTTTTTGGTATTCATCCGCAGGACGTATCTCCAACCTCCAAGGAACTGATGCCAACGCAGAGATTTGAACCCGCCGCTCCAGCAAAAACACTGAAGTCAGTTCATCACACAGTGAAGATCTGACTGTCAGAATTCAATCGGCACTAAGTAGTACTGGAAGCATGTATGTCAACAGTTACACAACCTAGTGACCAGTCATCATCAATGTGACCTCATTATTCTTGAAAAAAAATAGATAGTTAACAAACAAAATATTGTTTATGGAAGAATAAATTTGAACTTTATTGAAAGATGACAGTTTGCCTTGCTTTTAAAAGTAGGTATGCACGTGTTATTTTGTGATACAATTATGCTGGGTGAATAGATGTTTGTTGAAAAATAATGCGCACAAAGGGAAACAATTATCATTTTACAATCGTAGTTATGCAGATTCCTTCACAAGAGCAGGTATTGAAGGCAAAATTGAAACTTTACGGAGAAAAGGATTTGTAGACAATAATACTTAATAGTAAATTTTAGGCTGTACAGGGACAGTTAGAGTAGTTGCACCTGAATTCGAATGTACAATGCATACATACAAATTTAACTGAATTCTGGTCTCTAAATTATTATTTTTTTTGTAAAAATTAAATAAATTTGAAATTCATTTTTGTATTTCCATATTGCACAGATAGATGTACGTTTATTGAGGTCAAAAATAAAGACCTAGGTATTATACACGTGTACGCACCTTGGGACACATAAATAAATACAAACACGCCCACGCACACATTAGCACATACTTACATACAAAAACACACATACAGATACATGCATACACACATACGAATAGAATGATCAAATATCAGGACAAGAAAACAACAACAACAACAATAATGATAGTAATAAAAATAACAAACAAGAGAGAGACAACTTAGAACTGTCCGATAACCCGACCGTTATTGATTTGACTTAGTTATAAACTACAGAGCAGCAACACAATAAGACTAATTCATAATAAACTATTCACAATTGAATGCGATTCAATTCCTTTATTAAGAACAAATGAGGGTTTTACGAAAAAAAAGAATGTAAGCTGAGTGTATGAGAGTGCCAAGTGTAAACATGTGTGTTTGTATGTGTGTGTGTGTGTGTGTGTGCAAAATGCACGCAATTGTGCGCTTGTGAAATTAACCTAAATAAACAGTCATAACACATATTGCGTTTCCATATTCTAGTTTTAAAACACGTAAACTCGGTCAAGGTTAGAAGAGAAATTAAATAATTTACAAGTATTTTATATCTCAACAAAACAACGAAAATCATAATGATAATAGTAATATATAACCGAACAAACAAATCAGAGAGAGAAAAAAATTAAGTGGAAAAAGGCAATATATACATATATATATATAAGATAGACAGGAGGAGTAAACACGCTTCAATGTAATAACTATAATTATCCACTGATATTTCAAGTCCAAGACTGAAGGTTGTATGCAATTTGTTTTGCATTTCTGTTCACACTGCTGTCGTCAGTATACAAAACAAAATTCTAGTCAGTTTGTTGAACATCTTAGATTTCAGTCATAATGCAGTCTTGTAGTACAGAACATCACTTGGCTTTCTAACGCTATGGTGGTTTATCCCATGTACTTCAGAGAAGCATTTCACGTGGAAAAAGGTGTGTCCTTTATTGAAACAAAAATTATGAATAATACTAAGATAGAATACTATTATTCAGTGTAATTTACAGCTTTGACTGAAGCCTTTTATAGATACTACTGAAGTTTCACAACAGGACTTCCAATGTATATTCCTTTTTTTTGAGAGAAACTTAACAGTTATCAACAGAGGACTTCATATATATAATATATATGCTCTTAGTTGAAAATTTGCGATAGCTTGAGAACACTTGAACTGATTCAGTTACTGGACAACTTTATGACATGAATCACTTGGATCTATTGTTTTTGAACCAGTAGAGATTCAGTAATGATGCTCCTTTTTTTAAGAAGAAGATGACTTGGAGGGTATTGCGTTATTGCTTTCATAAAGCATTCATTCCCTATCTTTTCCTGCTTTTTGATGAAAACCCTGTTTGTTCTTACTAAGATTAATCATAGTTATTAGGCAACTAGCTGACAATAATAAGAATGAAATTTAAACACCTTCAAGTGTGAAAACACAGTCATAAATTTACTGTGTAACTTTTGAATTATATGTACTCAAGACAATCAGTCACAGCTCCACATATTACATTACATTTCCTTATCCAATCCTTTGTTTAATTAAACACAATATAAACTTCAGTCTTACCTACGTCACTGTTATTTGAAATACTTTTGTTACAATAGAACCGTCTCACATATTAAACGCGAATTATGCGAAATAGGAATAACAAGTAACGCCTAATACTCTCCTGTTGCTGAAGGATTATGATGGTTTAACGACAGAAGACATTGCCAGTAGGTGTTCTGAACGCTGGAGACAAGTGAATTGCCTAGCTAATACCTTCTGGTATAGATGGGTTAGGGAATACATCCCATTACTACAGTTTCGCTAGAAGTGGTTTGCAAGACACAGGAACTTCATGGAAAGAGATATAGTGCTTATGTCCAACGAAGTAACAACACGAGGTGCGTAACCAACGGGAATAATTGAAAGGTGTAACAAGGATACGGATGAAAAAAGCGAGAACCGTGATGGTGCGTATGAAAGATGTTGTAAAAGGGAGGTATGAAGATTTTGCCTTCTTTATGCAGTTGGCAACATATAGATTTAGGGTAGGCGTATTTGTTGTAAGTCTTCGACCCCAGAAGTAAGAGATAGAGTCATGAAAAATGCACTAAAAGGTGTCTTGAAGTCTATGGAGGGATTTTTGTGGCCGGTGTAACGGGAAGATTGCTGGGAAAATCCTTCCTAGACGTTCGAATCACAATATTTAGGCTTATTTGGATGTTTCAACTAACTTTGTAATTATTATCGGTGATTCTCCCATATCATTATTTTGACATTTGCATATCATAAGCTGACTCGATCAGCATTATTTGTCTTTGTTCCTATTTAATCTCTAATTTTGTTGCTTCTCTTTGTGGGTGTGTGACAATATTGATAATGTGTTGTTTTGTTTGAGTGATTCTGACCATGGACTGTCTGCGGGAATTGTTGATGTATGATTCTTGCCGACAGAGTTTTTGATCCCACTTGTTTTGTCCTTAGAAAATTAACTCGACTGTATAGCTGCCCAACGGCACTGTTGAGGTCATTTTGAGTTTTTGACGCTAGTATTATCGTTGAATAGAACCACAGATTCCAGCAACGAATAATCATCTTTTCACTGTCTTTGAGGCGTTTTATGACTGCGAATGAATGTCTCAAGGAAATTTTGTCAGCTATACAGTAGCATGCTATTTGGAACGTGGCAACTCGAACTGCTGCACTTCGGTGCCAAGTTCTATGTTGAATCCAGCAGCAGCATGCAGAGATCGGTTTCCTGCACTCAGACCACAACAAGTCGATCTTCGTCGCGTAACAACTGTTTTTTGTTAGTTGAAAACGCCGATTAAATGTTGTAAAATAACAACATGGTACATACTACTACTAGCTGCTGTGAGTAGTTAAGCACCAAACATACACACACACACACCAAATAGTAGTACTCACTAGATAGGTCAAAATGATTCTAAACACCAGAAGACCGTTTCATTCGTTCAGGATCGAGGTCATCAGTGGTGCACCAGTAAGTCTTACTCAGCTCAGAGAGGTAAATCACTTCAAGGCATGAGAATTCTGACTGCTTACCTACCCACCCACTCACCACGAAGAATGCTAATTGCTGATGTTAACAAGAATTCATTTCTTACCTGAATAATATGGATATAAAACTGTACAACCTAGAGAGAGAGAGAGAGGAGGGAGAAAGTTTTTGAAATGTCTACTCTGTCTCCGCTTACTATATTACTGTATTAGATTTTCTCTTTTCAATAAGAATTCTTCAGTTAAAAAACCATTAAACATTTTTCGCAATACTCACTGTCTACAATCGTTTACAACTCAGTTATATAATATCCTTTAAAGCAGTTAAGCGTTCAAAATAACTACTAAGCTCTCAGTAAAACAAAAGTTCAAGGTGTGATGTGAAGACTATACGGAAGGAGCGGAGAGGAGACGGGAGGCAAATGAGTAAATTACATGAAACTCTCTATCTCTCTATTACACCTAACTACCAAACACTTTACAAATGCTTTACAACACTTCAGTGAATAATATTAATAGTAATATAAATTATGCATTTGACTCGTGGAATGATTCCGTAAACGGCAGTGTATGTAAAGAAAAGGACAATAAGTGACTCTGTTTCGTGTTTTTTGTTGTTGCTTTGACTAAGTAACCAGACAATACAGACAACGTTAAAATAATTAATACAAATGAACTATATATAGGGAGGGAGACGTAGGCCGCCCGACTGCCTCCCTCAAGATGCCAGCGATCAATGGTTCTCTATCGCTTATATCAATGCGCGATCAAAACTGAAACAAATCCAATCTCTACAAACTAACTCTTGGAAATTAATCTGATGCTCGTTAATGACTGGCTACAGGACGAAGTTGTCTGGAGTTCTAGTGAGAAATCGTAACCAGTGTGGTCCATTCTGTAAGGAGTGAGGACAAGTACTCGTCACCCATGACATTATCTGGTGCCAGTCGCGCTAAAACCATGAATCATTAGAAGTTAGAATTCATGGGATGGCCATTGAGTCGTGTTCCATTGGCTGAATGGCTTACAAGCTTGCCTTGTAACTGGAAGGTCCTGGGGTAGAACCACTGTAGTGGTTGCGTACTCCCGACGAGTCCCGAAATAGGACAGCGGAAACAGCTGTCCGGTACTCATTGTTGGTTTTCAATGGTTCCCTGTCTGATATATATCGATCCGTGATCATCAACCTTGGATCACAATGACTGGTTGCAGGCTGTTGGTAAAAGAGCTTCGAGACATCACGGTATGAAACCTTCTTTATTTTATCAGTGAACAAACTCATGTGTTGTGTGTGCATGTGTGAGCTGAGTACATACACCAACTAACCATGTGCATAGAGAAATAATGAGGTACAGTAAAATGATTGTTCACCTGATATACATATGCATACATACATATATGTTTTCCAATATAATAACATTTAGAAGAAAAAAAGAATACATAAAAACACACAAACACAAAATATTAAGAATCAGGAAGAGAAAAGAAGAAAAGGAGAAGAGAAAGAAAACGACGACGACAATAACAACAACAACGAAAAACCATGAATCCCATGTGAGAAGACGGCTTTTCTTCTCTCTTCGTTTTCAGATATAATTCCGTCCTGTAATGTATTCTCGTTAGGATAAATTTTCTTTATCAATGCACATGCGTAAATGTATATATACTATAGAATTGGAGAAAGTGATACGCAAATTGTTGTACAATGAGTGAGGGTGAGAAAGAGACAGAGTAAGAGTGAGAGCGAGAAAGGGGAAAAGAAACTTTCAATTGTTAATTATTGTCAGTGTAGTATAGTATTATGAGATAACTTGTTGGTAAGTTACCGAAGTTGCTTGACAATAATGCATAAATGTGCGATAATGACGTAGAAGCGAACAAGAACAAAACAAACGATGTTCTAATCAGATAACATATTTTCTTTTCAAAGACAGGAAGAACTTGTTTAGTTATGACGTAGTAGCATTAGTAGCAGTAACGGTAACATATCTATCATATCTGTGTATAGACAAACACTGATTTTAACAAGCGTTAACAAATAGAAAGTTAAATGTTTCTTATTCGAATTTTCAAGGTTCACTTGCCACGAACACCTACCCAACCTAACTCTTTACCTAATCTCTATGTTTGTTGACAATTTAGCTGCAAGATGATATCTCAGTAAAATTTTTAAAAAAATCAGTGTGGCGCTAATTGTCGACAAAGGAACCCAGCATTACCACTTAGTAGTGATTCAGGTGGCTACATCTCATCTCATCTCATCACATCACACTTAGATGATGACGAAAACGAAATCGAGATGATTGACAAAACTCATACGGTTATATATATAAGCGAACTTTCATTGGATTTCGACTTGCTTGCATCTTCTTTAACATAACAGATGGGAGTAGGCGGAAAGATAAGCGTAACCCGTACTGTTCAGCCACCACAGGTGATAAAGTACAAAATACTTCACTGAATGTTTTATGGAAAGAAATATGAAATCCTTCATTCTACACTATTTGCAGGGTGGTCCTAAAGAACGCGAGTAATGCAATAAAAGCGACGGTGGTCAAATGCGTGCGACCTACGCGGGTAAATCGAACACGTCAGCTCAGCCACAAGTGTCAGAAATAATTGAAAGAAACATACACTTTCGGTCAATACTGTCTCTGTGAAGTGACAGTGATTAAGATTAGAACTCAAAAGAATTTGAATGACATAAATAAAAAAGTTTCATCCAGGACCTTCCGGTTACAAGGCGAGCACTAGCGACCGGTCCTATTCAGGCAGATCGTTACCTGGTTTCTAGTGAGAATTCATGACAGTGTGGATAGAGCAGGACGGGTGTGAGGACAAATACTCACCACGGATGACCATTGGCTAGTGCCAGTCGCGTCATATTGTCAATTGGCAGAAGTTAGAGTTCATGGGCTGGCCTTCGGATTGTGTCCTAGTGGCTTAATGGTCTACGAGCTCACCTTGTAACCAGAAGTTTCAGGGAAACTTATCGTTCTCCGACTACAAAACAGTAAATCACGTCTGAAATTGTCATGGATAAGCATGAAAACTAAACTTGACTTAGTTGTTTTGCATTTAGCAGTATTCAGCAATATAGATGGTATGCATACATCTAAAACTTCACGGGTTCGAATCTCAGAAGAGACATGAGTTCCTTCAGGACTGCGTATTTATATATACCATCAAAAATCAGTCGGGATGAGTTGAATACATATTCCGAAATTCAATGACAACTCTTAAAGTAGTAATCTCCTTGCGTGCGTCGGTGGCACAGTGGTTAGGACTCTCGCCGACCATGCACATGGTCCGGGGTTCGATCCCCTGCCGGCGCACACCCGATATCTATGGTCGGCCTGAATTTGGGCTACCGATATCCATGCTGAAAATTCCACACTTGTACTGAAAATACGGTGTGGAATCAAGCTGTAAATCAAAATAAATAAAAAAATAAATAAATTATTAAAAGGTTATTATCGAAAAGCAGAGACTGCATAAATAAAAAACCTTCATCAGGATTACAAGAGGAGACCAAAAGAAACATAAATAAATAAATAAATAAAGATTAACTAACCAGTTTTTGACATGCCAACAGCTAGACAACGTTGAAATCGACAACTTTTGCACATATTCCGATTAGCTGGTGTAATTGGACAGTCATTATTGCCTAGACATTCTAAGCGTACATTGGATAGAACAGTTCGTCGGAAAAAACCCTAAATTGAAGTGAATAAAATATAATAAGAAAAAAGACTTTTTTATTTATAAAAAAATAAAGGACAAAGGACTAGGATACATTGAAAGAAATTATTTTGAATTTCCCGCTGGAAAATCTATAAGAAAGCGGAACATTTGCCATGTATTCCCCTCGACTAGACACCATCAGCCAAATAACAAGAGGTAATGCAATCATCTCTTGAGTTATAAATGCGACTTGAGACGTCATTTAAAAAAAAACTTGTCAGAATAGATTTCAAAAAATAGTTCAACTTAAAAAGCAACTGTAACTTGGCTGGCTGAAAGCATCTTATTTCTCTAATCAATGAATAGGTACGTGCGAACCGTCCCCAAATTTCATCAACAGTCAAGAAGCCTGGTGGTATTACTGACTATCATATAAAACACCTTTATCTTCTGCCCCCAGTGTAAAAACAAGATTCGGATTTTTCAACATAAACGTTAATTCAGTCACTTCTTCTGTATGGGTCAGAAACTTGGCGTGTGCGTCACTGAAAGCATTTCCAACAGCCTGCTGCAGACTTTAAAATCAACAGTCGCCTTCACTGGCTCCATATTGGACATAAAATGGCCAGAGATAGTTAGCAACAAGAAACTCTGGGAACGAACCAACTAAGAATCTGTCACTGAACAAATATGGAGAAAATGGGGATGAATCGGGCATACACTGAAGGAGACTGTTGGGTGGCCATCACTCGTGTGGAACCCACCGAATGGGAAACGACGAGTGGATCGTCCAAGTGTGACATGAAGGAGATCGTAGGGGGGAGAGGAGGAGGAAATTAGCGATTATTGGTAATTATGGGTTCAATTAAAGAGGACAGCAGAAAATAGAACAAAGTGGAGATGTGTTATTGAAGCTCTGAGTTCCACTCGGAACCCAATGGAATAATAATAATAATAAATAGAATGTAATATAAAACTTGTCTCATAGTCAAGTGTATGAATCTGTACATGACCCATTTGTACTCTAATCTCAACAGTGTGCTCATTCAACTATGAGAATCAAAAGCTGCTATGCTGATCAACCAACACATTCGAGTAAAAGCTAAAAGTAATAAAAAAAACAATCAATCTAAAGCCTAGCCCAAAAATTGGAAAGTCATCATAAAAATGGTACAGTTCTCCCCTTACTCTATGGTCCACTCACTTTTTCCCTCTCTCTCTCTCTCCATCCCACACACACACAGGTGCACATGTATACAAGCGAACAAACAAACTCACAACACAGATGTGTATAACCTGATGAAGAGTACACCTTTTTTTCTCTTCCAATAGTGTCTACCAATTCGAAAATAGATAGAAGACAAGACGCAGACAGTGTGAATATTTGGTGTTCATATTCTAGTAGAGTAGAGAATACGACGAGATGGGGTTAGGGTGGCGTAGGGGGGGCATAATACTAATGAGAACAGAGTTTAACAATCGTATTGTGTTACACCTTCGACAACTTAAAAATCAATTCTTTGCGAAAAAAAGAGAAAAAAAGAAGAGAAGACTACATGGATGTTTGTAACAAAAATAGATTTTTCAATGTCGTCGTCTGTTGTTTTCTGTTTTAGTTGGTTTTCATTCCCTTTTTTTTTAAAAAAAATAATGGAACTCGAGTTGTTTTCCTATATTGTAACAAAATATTAGTCGTAAAATTGTTACATTATTGCTATATAATTCATAGCATATATATATATATATATGTACGTAGTAGTAGAGATATGGTATTACTATTTATTACTATTGCCGTTGTCGTTGCTGTTTTTAGTTTTAAGACTATGAAACATATGCATGTGTAATGAAATGACAAAAGTTTTACCACCCCTTCTCCCACCTCACCCCAAAAGAACATTAAGAGACAGAAAACCACCAAGTTCACCACCAAGTAATACAGAATAGGTAATACAAATTGCGTGATGAAAATAAAATGAAGTAAAAAAAGTTCGACAATTTAATAAAAACTTAATATTAATCAGAATTCTCAAGTTTGTAGAGGTTTCCTTGATTTTGTTATGCGCTAACATCAGAGATTGAGAAACATTGAAATTGTTTTAGTCTCCAGATAGATTGGGATTCACCGACGAAACCGAAATCATCGATACACTACTGAATGAAATTGAGCAAAATATCCTTGAAAATCGACAACATTATGAACAACTGTTTTCTTTGATTTTCATTTTTTTTCCACACCTTATTCCAAGTTCTGATTATCGAAAAGATGTTGAAAAGCAACGGCTACCCCCAGAAATTTATTAACAAGTACGGAAGATGTGAAAGCACAAATATCAAACAAATCACAGTAATGAAAAAGCCAGTCTTCATTCATCTCAATTTTAAAGCTGACAAAATCAGAGGAATAGTCAACAGAAGATTGAATACGTCAGTGCCTAGAACCTATCCTGCAGCTAAGTTGGTTCCTGTTTATCGAACAACGTGCTCTTTGGTGCAGTCAGATGCTAACAGATACACTTCTCATGTTAACTCTAACTGTTTATACGAATTTACATGTATGCGCGACAGCAGTTACACTGGGAGAATAGAAAGAATGGCACACCTTCGATTTTCTGAAAACGAGATGGACCCGTAATCCTTTAAAATTATCAATAGACAAAATAGTTCAATCCTCCTCAAGTTTGCGAAGCAATCTCTATCGAACGCCTGAAACCTGATTTGTGTGTTCAGAAAAAAGCAGTTATCAGTCTTCCCTTGCCGTGGCAGCCGGATGTCTCTATTCTTCTTTTTATTCGATTATGTAATCCTTGGCATTGATCTCTCCCTCCCCCTTTGATATAGTGTTACTTTGCTAGCCTGTTGTTTCTGTGGTTTGAGTCGAACTCAGCACATTGTTATTCAATTTATTAGTTACTCCTCATCTTACTGGCCCCTTGTCTTTATTACGTAACCCCTTTGTCATTGTAAGCAAACATTTATTTTTGTATAAACTTGAATTCTCTGGATACAAACTATATAAGTGTAATTTTCTGATCACTTTTTACAAAGTTTCGAGCCTCCTGTTCACTGTCATCATTTAACACTTGTAAGTATTTTCAGTTGTACGTAGCTGATGAGAAATCAACGAAATAAATGATGGTACCAACTTATTATACACAAACTGTTGTTCACACTTTATTCATATTCCACATTATTCTGCACCGATGAACAATGCTTACCGTCTCATCTTTTGTCACCTGAGTATTTTCCGACTAATCAGTAGCAAAAGATAGATGTCCTGAAATTCTCAATGAGATAGTCGTAGTCAGTGGTGTCCACCGCCATGTCAGGAGTGAAGCAGATTCTCATCGACAGGATTGGCTGGAGATTGGGCTGTATATCACATCATTTGACGTAGGCTAGAATTCAAGACTCATTGAATTTAAACCCATTAGTGACTGAATAGTCAGCGAGATCGCCTCATAGACTGAATGTGCACAGTTGCACATCAGATAGGGTCAGTGGTGTGCACTGCACTTGAGGTGTTCCGGACTAAGTCGAAATAGCCTCTTCAGTTTCTAAATAATTCCTTAATTGATAGCAGTTCGTGACAAAGTCTACACTGAAGTAAAGTTACTAGTTGAACAATTTAAAATAAGTGCAAAAGTTATTGATAGAATTGGACTACTCAAAAACATTTTGACTTAGCCAATTAATATATATCAAAAGGAAGATATATGTATATATGACAAGTGAGGTCGTCATAGCACACCAACTAAAGGCCGTTGAGACACCTTGTTGGGAAGCTCCACCAAATAGGCTTAAAAACCCAGCCAGTGACTACACTGAAGCACTTATATAAAATGCTTCTAGGTTTCCAATCATTCTATAGTTGATTTTCATCCGCAAACCGTGATTATTATTATTTATTCCTTGGTCCTAGTGGAACATAGGGCTTCAACTACACGTCTCCACTTGCTTCTGTCTTCTGATGTACTTTTCACCTGCATCCATGTTATATATTCCTATCTCGCAAACCATGAGACAACACCACATAACCTATCGGTCAAGGACATACATGTGTTGTGAGTGTGACACCATTTCCCAGCTTGTCAACGAAAATTATAATTAACGTTTGTTTTTCAATAGTTTTATCCATCCAAAGAGTTTAGAATGAAACAAAAAGATGTTTCACATTGCTGCATAAAGAAACAGTTTAACAGATTTCTCAAAATACCAAACATAAAAAAGTATTAGAATTGTAATTACGTAATACAGAAAGCGGCAAACATAAAGAATAGTGACCATGGTGTGCGAACGCACAAATGAGCTTGAACGTGTGGCATTCGTTGGATTACAGAACCTGCTGTGTTTATCTAAGTGACGTAATTGAAGCGTAACGCATTTTTTTAAAATTTTAATCTGTCATACTCCCTCTCCCCTTATCTATTTGAACATTCGCACCTGTCTTTCTGCATGATTAATTCAATGTAGTTTATTTGCTTATCAGTCTTATATCTTCCAATGTAATTTCAATAGGATATATATATATCCCCGTATGTAGAGTATTCAGCTGACGAGTTCTACCGAAATTTAAATTAACCTTTGTTGCTTGTCTTATATTCTACATCAAGCAGCCGTTTATTTGCGAGAAAAACTGACATAATTATATTGAAACACATTTAAGACGATATTTTAACCTGACATAGGTGAAAATAGATCCCAATTACAATGAAGGGTATCAGTTCTCAATTTCTATAGCAATCAAAACGGCTCCATCTATATGAACAAGGAAACACTCTCCTCCTACTTATTTACTCACAAGAAAAATACAGATAATAATAAAAAAAACCTAACGTGTTATCAACCCATTATCCAGACAGTACTTAAAAACTATATTAGGATGAAATCTCCACCTCACTTCATGTACCGTGTTCATACTGGTGATGTAATAACGGTGGGTTGTGTAACCCAACGAATGGCGTGCGTCCAAGGTCATCAGTGCGTTCGTACTCTGTGGTCACTATTCTTTAGGTTGACTCAGAAAGCGCTAATCAATCAGGTAATAACTAAAAATAAGACTAAATAAGTAAATTGCATGATGTGATGTAATTGACGAGATTGAGCAGAACTCAGCTAAAATTGAAACAGAGTCAAGATCAATGTCACAAGGAGTAGAAATGTATAGTATTGGGGTGGGTGGGCGGTTGGAGAGAAATAATATAATTAAAGAACTAACAAAATTAGGATTAACAACGGACCTAATTTGTCTGAACACTGGATACGTAAATCTAATTGTATGCTTATTCTCCCCCCCCTCCCAACACACACTACTACATTTTTACTCCTTGTGACATTGATCTTGACTATTTTCCTAAAAATAAATGTTAGTTGAGTTCTGCTCACTCCCGTCAATTACATTATGTCATGCAATTTACCGATAATAAAAGAATACGTCGAAAAAAACTCTACTCCAACAATATTTATCACTCGGGTTATATATAGTGTTGTCGAGTCAAGAGTAGTGACACAATAAATACTCTGAGTTATAGTCAGACCATAAACAGCCTGCCTAATTATTATTATTATTATTATATACTCCTGAGTCGTTCGCCTTTTTCGCCTATTCGTGTTGACAAATAACGCAATCTGATAACACTGATAGCGAATGATTTTTATACTGTTAGTGCATTCTCCTCCCTCACTACAAAGCTTTCACTGTTCTTCTAGAACAATACCTTCGAGATAAGTTAACCTCGAAATGACAGCTACTAAGAGAGCACGATAACAATAACAACAACGACAACAACAACAAAAACATACGCTAGAGCTATAAATCTTTTTCTTCTTCATTATTTTCAATTTAACATATAACTATTCTTTATTTTCAAGGTATCGATTCGAATTCATTTGAGATTCTTCGCTACACTATTCTACCCTATTTGTGAATGCGATTATTATTATTATTTTTTTTATTATTTGGCTAATCTAGAGTTTCAATAAACATCAAATAGTAAAATCGATAGTGTAAACCAGAGGAAAAATAGATGTACTTCAAATATGATGAATTAACGTTGAGTCTGTAGAAAGCAACAACAACAACAACAAAAAAGATATTGTATTCAAATATATATAAATGACTGAACTATAGTCTGAATGACTGGTTTCACAACATAGAACTTTGCACAGAAGTGGACCACTACTTCTAGTTGCTACACCCCCCATGTAGCATACGACAAAAAAAAGAGATTTGAAGGAACGATTATAGGCAGAAAAGTGAGGGAGAAAGAATCGTCACATATATCCAGTAGCGGATCAAAAAGAGTGAAGTGAATTCATCTGCTCCACTGAGAACGACTTTCAGTCATATTACCAATTGTCTATAGCCATTGGTCCTAGTCCTCCTTACCTTACCTAAGCCGAATATGACTCACCCTATTATACCATCTAATATGAGAGATAGAACAGAGACACCGACAATCAAAGACAGTTAGCCTTTTCGTATGTTTCACTTTCAGTGGCCATGTCTTACAGCTATTAGGGAGGACGGAGCGAACTAATGAGGATCACACATGTCCTTTGATCGATAGCCAGTCAGATATCACGTCTACGCCAGAGATGAAGTAGGTTGGCAAACGCTACATGATCCTTTTGCATTCGTGCTGAGATTTCGTCAACAATTAGTCCAGTTGGGGTCAACACACTCCACCACTTTTCTCCCTATCTTTAAGCTATTAGTCGATGTAATCCAGTCGTGTATTATCATCTTACATTTGATTGGAGCGAATCGCATGCTAAACGTACAAAGATTGCTGCTCAAGGTGTTTGGAGGAGTCTGCATTTTATCAGCGTCTTCGCCTGGGTGGACTATATCATCCGCATATGCTAAATCAACAAGTGCAATCCTTAAGTCGCTGAAGTCAGTTGGGGTTAATTCCATTAATCTATGGGATATCGACAAACTGTCAGACTCATTTGGATTCTATGGATTCGTTTCTAGAGATGCAAGAAAACAGGACTACAGATTCCTAGTAATACGACCTTCAATCCATTAAAATGATGCAAGTCTATCCAATCTTTATCATCTTTGACTTTTGAATAGTTTTCGGGAATATTCATTCAGTAGTAGTGATTTATTATTTTAACTGTCTTTCAAAACTCAGGTTAAAAAAGAAATTTATACGCCAAGATACTGATAGGGAGTTGACGCCCCAGGCAGTTGGGACTGACAATATAGTGGCTTTTCTAAATACTCTCTACATCTCTGAGTAGTGAATTTCATCTAGGATGGAATATATATCGAATAAATGAGTTACATAATTTTTGTTTTTATCACTGTTAACATTACTATGAGATGATTCCAAACACGGAAGGAAACAACTAGGGTTTGGTTATTCGTTACCCCAGCGATTTCCAGTTTTATAAGTAATGAAAAAAGGGCAAAAAAGGATTGCCAAGGTCATGTTTACATCAGTCAATCGGTTTCTTTGTCTGTTTGAACATTGGGGGTTTAGTCACCCATACTGAGTTTATTTTATTGACCCAGATAAAAAGATACATTTATTATCACATATTAAGGATAAACACACACACACACACAAACATAAAAACACAGACACTCATACCCAAACATATATATATATATATACATGCAACGAAACCACACACACACAAAGGTCATTCAACCGAATACAAAGGTCATATTTCTCTGACCTTAAAAAATAAGTGCAAGACAGATAGAGATACAGCTTAAAAGTTCATTATCACTATTGCACAGACAAAAAGAAGGACACTGAACTGAAAACAATACATCGATTTAATGAAAAAAGAGCACTAGAAGGTTTGATATTAAAAAAAAGGTTAAACTTATTTCTAATTCTGATTGTCATTTCTCACTATAATGTTTGTGATGCTTGCAAAAAAATTTCGAATCAACTCAGTATGAACTGTTATCAGCTAAGGGGAACCGTTGGAAACCAGGTAATCCTAGTTTAGGACTCTTCAGTAGTGCACACGAACGAATCCCACCCCCATTACCCCCACCGTAAATACCTACAGGACAGATCTTAAGGTTGTGAGGCAATTATGCCAACATTTACCTGTTGAGTGAGTAGGAATAGAATGTTCCACAAATTCTAGTCTTTGTCAATTCGTGACGTATTTGTCCTCAAACCCAACTTCGTGGACCCCACCGGACACGACTAGACATTCACAAAACTCCGCCTAGTAGCCAGTCGCTAATGAGGAATAGATTAGCTTTCAGTTGTTGACTAAACAGCTGCTTATGGGATGATTCACTTAAGAAATCGAAAGACTCTCAGTTCAATTACCATTATATTTAATCGAAACATTTGTTGGTATGACAGGCATAACAGATCACCAAGTTATTATTATGCAATGAAAATTATCATCACACTCACTTTACAGCCTTCACAAGTTAATGCACCAAAATGAAAGCCGGAAGACGGACCACTGCAAACACGACAAGGTATCTGGGAAATATCACAGCCAGCTTCACCACCGGGAGCTGTAGAAAGGTAAACAGGAAAAGAAAAAAAAGAAAAAAACAGATAAATATAGCACCATATAAAAATTATGCACACATATCGAATATTAATGCTTAGCAAAACAATAACATGAAGGTAACTGTTGCCGAGGAGATCGTGCAAAGGGGAGATGAGAGATTATGGGCAATCGTGGACACAGCTGCAGAGGACAGCACCGAATAGGACAAAGTGGAGGTGTGTTGTTGAAGCCCTATGTTCCACTAGGAACCCAATGGAATAATAATAATAATATAATAACTGTTGCCGCAAAACAGAATTGACCTAATGAAATGGGAACTGATAGTTAAGTCCAGATTATAATTAACTCATTATCGAGAAGAGAGAACGTTAACATCCAATGAATAGATCAGGATCTAGCGCCTCTCAATTCGCTCTGATTTGTTGACTTCATCGAGCAGACCTTCTTGCTGCATTATTGAAGACACTAAAAAACATCAGATTAGTGTTGAGTGGCAATGTTTTTAGACATGTGATGTACTGCCCTGCTTTTTTTTGTCAAATAGGCCAATTGCGATTGTATACCAAAAAAAATAGAATATGAACCCTTTCATCATCGAATGATAACGTGTTCACACCAAGAGATCCAACATTGTTTTTTACCTGAAAGATAATTTCATCGAAATAGAAGGGAGAGGCAACATGCATGTTTCGGTTAAAACAACAAATCACTACTAAAGTAGTCATCTGTACTATATGCATCAACAAGAAGACTGTTGTTTTTCAAAGTGGTGCATATCACAAAAATTATTAAATGATCGAATTTCCGAATTATCTTCTACCTTTATGAGAAAAAAATTGATCTTAGTGCAACGCACTTGCATTGCTGTTAAATACGCAGTTACCAGGATGAGAATTCTCATGTACTTGACTATGAGCCACACTTATTGTGCCAGAGGTGATGATACACTAGCCAATACCCAGTTTGAAGAAGGCGGCGGAACGACATTTAAACCTGGGCTCGATCAGCCAATCAATTAGTCCAGTGATCCAAACCAATGAACCACATCTCCAATTGGACTTTAATTCGAGTAACTGTAATCGATTGTATCACTGTGGTTCCTTTGCTATGCAAGTGGAACATAGGGCTTCAAGCTTTGAAGTTTCAGTAGCTCAAGAGTTGTGTTTTTACATGGTGGGATGGTTGCTAGTCTCACGCCCAACATCCCCCTGTATTCCCAGCTTACTATTGGCTAGTAACACACCTAGGGTGAGGTTTAGGAGTGAGTTGGCTGGAGGTCAAATCCGCACCAAATGCGTAGTTGGCAATCATCCTACCCCAGATCCCCCGGGCGCCTATTGCAACCAATTAGTCAAACGGGATAATTAATAGTCAACCAAAATGAGAAGAGGAAAAAACGATTCATTAGTTGTTTTTTTCTTTTAAACTTTCGACAGCTCCGAGTAATATTGTTAAATAAAAAGGTAAAAAGAGAGTGATAAATGCTCTAATTTCAAGGCACGTGAACCAACAGCAAACAACATGACTGTTTATAATAATGCATTTTCAAAAATACCAAAATTAGAAATACATGTAACAATTATGAAGTAGAATTGCGGTTAACAATAATTGTAATAATAATAATAACAATAATAGCAGTAATAACACCCTGTGTACTATCGTAATGTTTCGGAATTGCAAAAGAGGCTATGGTTGACCTTAAAACCATAGGCAAAAGTACACTATTCGCCTAAAGATGGATGCATTTGTATTGCTAATGAAGTGCATAAGTGTCTTGTAGAAAAGCCTTTCAGGGATCATTATTCAAAAGATTTATGCCATTTTACTGTTGTAGGATTAATGAGCTTCTGTCTGTAATCAATAATAATAATAATAAACACAGTAAAGTTTAAAGAGATGAAGTAAAATGAAATTAGCTTAGATGTTTAGAAAAGCAACTATGCCCTATCCATGGTAATGGTGTAATAAATATCTAAACAATATAGGTAAGTTTAATGTGAAATGTTTGGAGGTAGGTGTGTACTTGACAGGAAACCGTGAACAGAAGTTTCATGCCCTTTTTTGGTACTCTTCACACAGCAAGGAACTGATGTCCCCTATGTTAGCTTCGAACCCGCGTCAACCAGTGTTATTGCAGTCAGAAAGGTTACCACTGAAATGTTTCGACCACCCATGATTAACATCCTACCGGACTATCATGGATACACTGATTGATCCGCGTGGGAATAAATGGTGTCATCTATATAGTTCTTAGTGGTGCACTGACTGAATTCTATCAAAGATAAGGTGGAAAATTTTTTAAAAATTTTATTTACTTTACTTTTCTAGTGGAACACTGAACTTCAAGATCGAGTTTTGAAGTTTCAGTAGCGGTGGTTTTATTTCTACGGGGTGAAGTTGCTAGCTTCACGCCCAACCTTGCCTCTTTACAGATCTTTCTACCAGCTTAGAGAGATTTAGGAGTGCATCGGCCGGGGATCAAACCCCAGACCACATTTGTGGTTGATGAATGTTATAGCGCTGAACTATCAACGCAGGGTGGCAAACAGGTGAATTTAATACACATCATGCTGTATAACATTATATAATATAAGCTAAACTGACTGACTGTGCGTCGGTGGCATAGCGGTTAGGACGCTCGCCGACCATGCACATGGTCCGGAGTTCGATCCCCGGCCGACTCACTCCTTTGCCTCGCTAAACCGGAAATAAAGCTGGTAAAGAGGAAAGGTTGGGCATGAGGCTAGCAACCCCATCCTGTAAAATAAACACTGCTACAGAAACTTCAAGCCTCCAGCTTGAAGCCCTATGTTCCTCTGGGAACGTGAAAGAATAAAAAAAAACAAAAAAATTGCTGTATAACGTTATATAATATAACCTAAACTGACTGACTGGTTTCAGTATAGAACTTTGCACGGATGTGCAGCAGTTCGAGTTGCCATTTTCCCTCCATGTAGCACACAGGAGAAGAGAAGAGAGAAAAGAGAGATTCAAAAGAGAGATAATAACCAGAAGTGTGAGGGATAAAGAATAGTTATACGAAAGGAAAACAGAGTTTTATTGGGTATTATTACATCATGAGGAGTAAATGTATCTGTGTATCTAAATCAACCAGCTCAGAGAACACTATTAATGTATCTCTGTCATCAATGAGAACGATTTTGAGCCATATCACTCATTTTCTCCCGCCGTCATTGGTTCTTACCATCCCGAGGACCCTCTAACCAGCCCCACACAGTCTACACCTCCTCCCTATGTGACTGGCTTAAACTAACTGTTATGAATTTGACTGATTGATGACGCTATATTTTGGCTTGACCACCACTAGCTTCTTTCCAACCTGATCCATCCTATGTCAGCTAACATTGACCGCCATCGAGGAAGGAGTAACACATGTCCTAACTATCTCAGTTTATGTAACTTCTCAACCTCATAGATTGATTTTCCCTCCTTATCTAACACGCGACGCCTAAACATTAATATTACTCACCCTATTGTACCACCTAAGACGGGAGATAGAACGTAGACACGTATGATGAAAGACAGTTAAACAGTTTTATGATGCTAACTGAAAGACTGTAATCCTATAATATTAGAGAAGATAAGTAAGCAATTCAATATAAATTTGATAATTATTCATTGTCCTTTGAGTTTTGATATTCATTCAGGATAAGTTTTTAAACTTACCCATTAACAAAGCACAAAAAGTATTGTTATGAATCGAAGTCAATTAAAATTTCATTGTAAGAGAAAAGGACACTGAAGAGCTGTTTTTCCATGTATACATACATACACTGTATCAACCATATGTTAATGAGATCATCAGCTGAACAAGTTAGCATTTCCAGCTAGTTTATTATTATTGTTCCCTTGGGTTCCTAGTGGAACGTCTCCACTTGCTTTCTGTCTTCTGCTGTACTTTCACCTGCATCTATATTATTCCATACTGTTACAACTCCTGTTCACACGATCTCCTCCATGTCACCCTTGGACGTCCCACTCGCCGCTTCCCTTTCGGCTTCCACTCGAGCTATGGCCTGACGCGCGATGTCACCCAGCGGCCTCCTCAGCGAGTGTTCAACCCATCTCCACTTTCTCCTGCATATTTGTTGGGCGATTGGTTCTTGTTTTGTTTGTTCCCATAGTTTCTTGTTGGTGATTCTTTCCGCCATCTGATCTTCAGTATGGAGCGAAGACAGCTGTTGATAAAGGTCTTCAACAGGCTGTTGGAAATATTCTTTGTGACCCGCCAAGTTTCTGATCCGTAAAGAAGAACTGACTTGATGTTTGTATTGAAAATCAAACGTCAAATCAGTTCTTCCTCGCCTAGATTACTAGCTCGCTAGTTTTCTAGCCGATCCCAAGCCTGGATAAAGAGGGAGGGTTGGGGCGTGGTGGTAGCAACTCCACCCGCCGAACTTAACCAAATTGCTACAGAAACTTCAACGCATAAAGATATTACAAAATACTAAAATTCCCAGCTAGTAAGTTGTCAGAATCGATTGATTCAATAATCACCACTTCACCACCCTACTGGAACTTCAGAATGTATCTTCGCCCACATTGGTTATTTATCCACCACCTGTGGGGAAGTAGTGGCGAATAATCTATCACTTCTATAAAAGAACTTAACAGTAAGTGATGACGAAATCTGCAATGTAAATCCAGAGTTATCTCAAATCAACCCTAAGAAAAACACTCGTAACCGAATTATGCTTACTGCACACACACAATGTGAACTAAATATGCGCTGCTCGTCACTGTTAAATTACTGTTGTACAACTGATATACAAAAGTGAAGGTTGTTCAATAACTGTCCAATACAACAGACACACACACAAACACACAAGTTGACCCACACAACCATTGTATAAGTCTCGAGTTCGAATAGGCTCCTAACATATTTCAGCCTATGCGATATCCAGGAGTTGTAGGTGGGCTCTAATTAAGACTCAGACGGTAACCGATTTATATATATATATATATAAAGGGTAGGTTGAC